TTGCCTGATAGATGAAAGGCCAAAAAAAAAAAAAAAAAAATTAAAAAAGACAAATAAATAAAAAATAAATAGTACATTTTATATTACCTATACAAATATAATATAATATAATATAATAAGAGATGGTAAACTAATAGATTTCTATTTCAAATAAATGCTGTTCTTTTGAACTTTCTATAGTATTAATATAATAATAATTATTATAATATTATACACCATTATAATAACATAAAACACCACTCTTTTCAACACTGATAATCAGAAATGTGTTTTGAGCAGCAAATTAGGATATTAAAATGATTTCTGAAGGATCATGTGACACTGATGACTGGAGAAATAATGCTGAAAATTCAGCTTTGCATCAAAGGAATAAATTACAAATTAAAATATACTGAAATTGAAAACAGTTATTTTAAATGGTGATAAAATGTCACTATATTACTGTTTTTATTGTATTTTTTAAAAACAATAAATGTAGTGTTGGTGAGTAACAGTAGTTTATGTAACAAAATTTTTCTTTTTCAAATGAGAGAAATAAGACATTTTCGGAAAAAACAAAAACAAAAACAGACGTAACGCAATTTACTCAGGTAACACGTTATGTAACACATTTCTCATACCACGTTTCCAAGCATGCTAATTTGTTGACAAGCCTAATAAATCAGAAGCCACGAGGTGCTGAAGACTGCTCTGATTTCTCATTACCGATCCTGCTCAGCTTTCAGAAGCCAGGAGCGATCTGAGCTACATAAACTGTGGTGATGTAACCTTTTTGTTTGCCTTCATGGCCTGCTCCTCATGAATAAATCAGACCGAGGGTGAGTTTAACGCTCTGAGTGCAGGAGCGCAAATGTCTCTGCAGCCTCGCATGCCATTTGAGAGTGATTCAACTCGGAGAAATGGCCTGCGCTGTTCACGTCATGTGACAGAATAACATGCCGTCTTCACGCGCTCGCCGGAGATCAGTGAAGACTAACTCGAACAAATCGCTCTGCGTGCAGTGAGTTCATCTCATGCCACAGCAATGTTCAATATGCAGAATCCCATTAGGGCTCATTAGCGGCAAGCGCGCACCTTCAACTGAGACAAACACTCCTCTCAGAACGGGTCTCCTTCATGGCCTAATAACGCTCACATGACAAGGTCAAAGCCGTGTGGAACATCTGTATGTGCTGTGCTTACAGGAGGACGACGAGGGTGACCAGGACTCTTTGTGTTCTATTGATAGGTACAGTAAAGAGAGGTACAAAAATAGACAGAACATGGGACAGATTTAACCCTGCCCGTGCGAGTTTGTATTGTGTGAATGCACGGTTTGGGAAAATAAACCTAGCTGAAAATCACCCTCAGATCTCTATGTGAAGATCAATGGAGAACAGAGGACGATAGCTAAAAATAGCGGCAGTCTTCAAGAGAAGATAAAATAACGCTTGATAAAAGAGATATGAAAGTGCTTGATGGGTGGGAGACGTCTACAGCTTGTGCCCATGTGGGCAGATGAAATTTCCATTCCACATGTTCAACATCTCGTGTTTATTATAGTGCGTGTGTGTGTGATTGATGACCTGGGTGATCTGTAGAAATGAGGTGTTTGGGCTCAGGACTCCCTGCGCACAACAAGGCCGTCTTCAGCGAGTGAAGAAACAGTAGGTGTGTGAGACTGTAAACACACAGATGAGTGACGGCTCATGGATCACACCATGCTGGTTTTGAAACGACAACTTTTTGGTTACCGGCACAAATCTTTTTGTGCCAAACCACCGACAAGCATCCGCCCGTGTCTTCAAAAACCTCCAGCAGCTCTGCATGGAGTTCAACACTGCAAAAAAATATTTTCTTTTTCTGTATTTTTGGTCATTTTCCAGTGAGAATATCTTAACAACCTAAAATTAGGCTTAAAACAAAAACTATGTATGTCTAAGTGAGGTGAACAAAATGTACACTTGCAGTCAAAAATTGGAATAATTACGATTTTTTGTTTTTAAATGAAGTCTCAGTACTTCATTATAAAGGTATGCTGTAATGCATTATGGCATTTCATAAATAACTGTATCCAAAGTTAAAATGCATTATAATATTTGAAGGTTTGTTTGTCATGTATTTTATTGCATTATACTTTCTAAAGGTATTGTGGTGGCTTCTGCCACTTCTGTGAGAGATCATCCTCTTGTCTTGAGGCTTTGATGCCAGAAGATAGACTTTATTATCTGAGATAATGAAGCTGAGAGACTCTGCAGAGAATCTGTCCCATCTGTCTTTGCATACTCTTATATAGGTTTCATAAACAAAACTTATCATTCAGGCCACTATTGCTTATTAACTTTAGACCCCAGTCTATATCTCCTCATGACAGCGTAATAGGAACACAAAGAGGTCTCAGCAGTTCATCACATGTCAGCACAAGATCATCTCATGCTTTCTCTTAATGGCAGCTCATCATATTTGAGCACACACAGTTAAATACATGACTATAACAGTAGAATAACTCCTTAATATATATGGTCATATTCACATTGATTATGCTTGATTAATAAAAATCTTCCACAGTATAACAATAAATAGATAAATATTATAATGTAATTATAGTTATAACTGCAGTTACAGTTATTCATGAGAATCATACAATGCATTACAAGGTGCATTACAATGCACAATTGATCGTTCGCAAAGACCCGCCCTCCTTAGTTACTGTTGCTATCCCCGACAAACAATGCCTATCTCACACAACACACATGTTCTCATGCAGTGAAAAATACATCGCAGAGCAAAGAGGAAACTGACAACACACAGACAGAGCAGGTTACTTCTTCTATGAAACAAGGTCTCAGCTTTTAAATTTGGTAATTTTTAAGAAATTCAAACAATAAATACCATTTTGAGGCTCTTTAATGTGTCGTGACAGATCACTGTATTGCCTCAGTTCAAACGCGTGAACCGATCGTCTTTTCATATTTACTCAAAGCACGAAATCAACATGAATAAACATCAACCGCGGAACACACCACTTTTCAAGTTTAAGTCCACTGAAGTGAATCTGCTCTCTGTCTGATTTGTGGTTAAGGCTAGAAGGGATACAGCTGTGGCTACTGGGCATGCACATTTACATATTTCCCGAGCCAACAATATAACGTGAAACCTATGAAAATGGTTTAAAAAAGCACATGGCGCCATAGTTTCATCACTTTAGTGTCGAAGTGACTGTCTTTTTGCAGTAAAGGACTTGTCATAGTTTAATAAGTGGGAAGATGACATGAAGCAACGCGAGGAGAGCTACATTGAAAACAGATGAGTGCACATGTGCATAAACAGCTCCCGATCGGTTTATATTTACACTGAAGCGCGCAGGCGGCTATGGTAAGGGGCGTGACATTTCCCGACCAGGCACCGAGTGCTGCCAATCACAACACACACTGGCCCAGCTAACCAATCACAACACACACTGGCCCAGCTAACCAATCACAACACACACTGGCCCAGCTAACCAATCACAACACACACTGGCCCAGCTAACCAATCACAACACACACTGGCCCAGCTAACCAATCACAACACACACTGGCCCAGCTAACCAATCACAACACACACTGGCCCAGCTAACCAATCACAGCAGCTCTATTCTGGAAAAGGGGGCGGGGAGCAGCAGCTCATTTGCATTTAAAGAGACAGGCCCGAAAAACAGCGTGTTTCTGCTTCCACTCAAAATAGGCATTTTCCAAATGTTATAATAAATGATCTGTGGAGTGTTTTGAGCTGAAACTTCACAGACACATTCTGGGGACACCAGAGACTTATATTATATATTGTAAAAAGTGGCATAATATGTCTCCTTTAAAGCAATTCCTTAGCTTATTGCCGTCACTGTGGCAGCCAACAAACCCTCCGCACATATTTATATTTAGTTATATTGAAAAAGTTTAAATTCAGTCTATCTTTTTTATCCCGTTTTAACATGGATCTCTATGGAGACCAGCCGTAGATGTCGGGCAAGATGGCAGATAGCAGTGGTGGCACATGATATCCGCGTTATGATTGGTCAGATCACCTGTCATTCAAACTCTTTGTGAACGGTCAATTAATGCATTAAACCACTTTCATAATGCATTATATATAAAGGCTCAAAGTGTCACATGATCCTTCAAAATTTATTCTAACATGCTGCTGAAGAAACATTTTTATTATTATTAGTTAATATTTTGTGGAAGCGAAGACACCCTACCACTAAAAAGTTTGGGGTAATATTTTTTTGTAAACAAAACGAAATTAATACTTTTATTCAGCAAGGACACATATTAAATTAACTAAAAGTGACAGTAAAAACATTTTAATGTTACAAATTTACAGATTTAATTTCATTTAATTTACAGATTTATTTCAAATAAATGCTGTTCTTGTGAACTTTCTATTCATCAAAGAATCCTGAAAAAACTGCATCACGGTTTCCACAAAAAATTAAGCAGTAAAATATTGATGATAATAATAAGAACTATTATTAATAATTGAGCACCAATAATAATTTATAATAAATGAAAACCAAACCAGCATATTAGCATGCTTTCTGAAGGATCATGTGACACTGAAGACTGGAGTAATGATGCTGAAAATTCAGCTTTTATCACAGCAATCAATTACATTTTAAAATATATAAAAATAGCAAACAGCCCTTTAAAATTGTAATAATATTTCACAACATTACTGTTTTTATTGCATTTCTAATCAATAGGAAGAAAGGGACAAAATCTGGCATACATCACCAGAGAGAAGTCTGCAGTTTTACTGGAAAATGTAGTTTATTTGAATTAAAAACTACAAGGTAAATTTTTTAAGAAAAAAAAAAAACGAAATGCATGGATTAATTGTTCATAATATCAAATAACAATAATAAAAGCAAATACATTTCCCTTATTTTAATGATATGTAGACAGTTTTACTGGAAACCAGATAAAAACACTGCATAAGAAAGTGATTTTGTGCTGTATGCCGTGCTGACTGTGTGTGCGTACCTTCTGCATGCCCTGCAGAGCCTGCTGCAGGAAGCTGAGCTGCTGCTGGCGGGTGGCATCCTCCTCGCTGCGCTGGGGCTGCGCTTTACCCTGCTCCTGCTTCAAAAGCTCCACCTCATTCCTGTAGGCATCCAGCTGACACCGCAGACTGTCGTTCTCTTCTTTCAGAGCCTCCACCTGAGCCAGCGGCCCTGGGAGACCACAGAGAGAGAGAGTAGGAGAGATACGAAAAATGACAATTGCATTGGCGACAGGAAAGGGAAATAAGCAGACAGAGACACACGAGTGAAGGAGGCAGGGGTGAAAACCAATAACGGAACAGAGAGAGAAGAGCGCATATTAAGAGTCGTGTGTGGAGTAATAAGTCACGGGGTGGTGGCGGCGAGGCCTGGAAAGGGTCAAATGAAAGAAGAAAACAGCATTCCTCAAAAGCTGCTTAGAGAATTCTGCTGATGGACCGAGATGAAAGGACCCTCAGTACCACTGCTGCGTTCCTTTCGCTTTCAGAGGCTAATTAGAGAGGATTAAATGGAGAGAAAGTGTATTACTTAATGCTTGACTTAATGTACCATGGGCATTGTTATCAAACGGCAGTAATTAAAACAGGGTTCTTCACACCGAGACATTCCGTCATTCAGCCGTCTCTTAACAACCCGATGATCAGAGACGCCACCTCTGCTCCGCGTCTAGCGGGAGGTGCTAACGGGATTATGCCGAGAAGCGTGTCCGTCTCAGATTGGGCAGGGAGCGGGGGGAACAGCTGGGCGTCTGATCGCAAGGCTGATGAAGGATCTTTGCTTATACGGCTCTTAAGAGGGGGAGGATGAGCGTCTGGAGTGACGTGGGTGGAAGATAAGGAAAGCCAGGTTGAGCTATGAACACCGTCGAAAGTCTGCAGGGAAACGCATCATTACCTGTCTCAGCTCTGCTCCGAAACCTAGCGAGCTGCCTACCTAGACTGCATTTTAAGAGGCCCAAAAGGTAGGCAGCAATGGTATTCCGCCTCTTTTTGGCCAAATTCAAAGGGAAACAACGAATACATCCCTCATGAAGAAGGCAATCCCAGAATTCGACCAACAATACAAGATGGTGGATATGAGAAATATTAGCTGCATCCCAAATGATGCACTATACACTATGCACTCAATCGTGTAGTGCAGTAATCTTCACTATTTTTTTTCACGAGAGCTGCACTTATAGGACAAAGTTAATAGGAGAGCCACTTTCACTGCAAAGTATGAAAAGTTACATCCAGTCATAAATAGCATGTCTGCTTCTCAATCTGTCATCCCTGAACATACAATATGCAATGCGATACAAAGGGGTTTATTTTTAAAAGTTATTTAAATTTATTTTTTAAAAGTTATTTGCTTCTACATTAGCCCATCATGTATCAAACCATAAGAGCACATTTGGCGTTAAGAGCTGGAAAGATTGCCAAAACAACTCCGCAGTGAGTCAATGTCATGGATGTAAGGGCAGAGCAAGTTTAAATATCTTTCTAGTCTATATTTCCATCTTGTAATTCCGCTGTTTTGGGTATTTTTTAAATATAAATTATTTGTAATAGAGCAGACACTGACTGTTATTCACGTATTTATGTTCTCATTTAGCGAGACAGCAGACGCTGAAAACACTGCACACTTCAGTATGTGTGTAGTAAACGAAACCGCGCGTCTGTGTCATTCATTCATAAAGAGACATGCAGGATTCATATTTAAATGGTATTTTTGCAGCTTAATATTTACAGATACCAGTCAATATTGCGATTTGATTTAAGTGTAATGACCTACTTTTGATTTATTCACCCAAACTTTGACAAATTCCGTGACATTCCGCGTTATACAGTAAATTCTGTTTTTATGACTGGATTCCGCAATTCCGTCTGCATATTACGCATCGCAGAAATCATAGGGCCATAACTATAATGTGTTCTATTGTCTTTTGTCGCGTCGCACTATGACGCTCGCATCCAGTGTAGACACGGTGTGAGTTTTTTTAATGGCTTAGTTATAGCCCTGCTTGTTTTTAATGTTTTTATTAAATATCTGTATTGATCATATCATCGCATTATTTACTGCCATCTGCCATGCGAGCCACACATTAAAGCTTGGCGAGCCGCACAATGAGTAACACTGGTGTAGTGTATATATTATATAGGGTTATTTTGTCATTCAACATCAGAGTCTGATAGCCCCTCCCCCTCCGCAACATAATTAAAGCTGCAACAGTTGAGGGCATGAAGTGCCCAACATTCCACACTTAATTTCGGGTATTTTAAATGCATTTTTCTTTTTAGAATTTTTAGTGTGAACACACTACTTGCACTATTTATCATAGCATAGTACATACGTACGTGAATTGGGATGATCCTATTGACTATAAATATACTTGCATTTCATGCAATAATTAGAAGTATTGATAAAGCAGCTCATTATAGTTTAAAAAATATATTTTTTGTATGTGCTTTGTATTTTTTTATGTTTAAGAGCGTCAGGTTGTTAGCTTAGCAGCATGCTAACAACAAACTCTGAAAGTTTGCATATTTTCACAGGGGTTTCCCATAGGAATCCAAGCACTCTGGAATTCTGTGTGAGGGCGAAAGATTTCCCTATGCAGATTTCGCAACAGGTTCAAGTTGGTCATGTTGCATTGACTAACAGAAAGTTGGGTTTAAAAGTGACTTCTGTGTGATTATTCATCGCTACATTATTGCAATAGACATGGACCTTTTTTGGCCTTTAAAATTTCACCAGGATTTCACAAATGTGACTTTATTGGAATTGAGTCGAGTCTCTTAAGTCCGATGAGCATAATTTTTTATCATTTGTCTATGTAAACCTGTCTTACGGCATAAATGTGACATTTTACCATGCTGTGTGGCGGTAAAGGTAGCTCATCTTTGAAAAAATTTGTTTTGAGACCCCTGAGGTTTTCAGAATGGCCATTCTGTCGTGCTAGACCGAGCACAATGGAATGGCAATTCACACGGGACACAAGAACGCATCCTTTATGAAGGTAGCTGCCATGTTACCAATTCTGTGTTTTGTCTGGAAGCATGTTTGGTGTGAATTAGAGGGGAAAGAAATAGAGAGATGGAGAACTAGAGCGAGAGAGACATAGAGACACAGACAGAAAGGGAGGAAAGCAAGCGGCTTTTATTGATTCGTCTCATCAAGTTGCTGCCCTCAGAGCCGTCCAGGTTCACCTTCCGCATCATGGCAGGCAGCTCTATCGACCTGTGCTGTCCAGGGGTGCTGACAGTAAAGAAAGCAGCTCCCGTTTGCACACTGTACTATAGCTATTGTCAGAGGACACTTGCCCGTTATCATTGATTAACTCTGGGGGAAAATAAAAGCAAACATGTTGGGCTGCAGTGAAGATGGAGGTGAATCTGCCTAGTTAATATGGCTAAAACTCACACCGAGGTTAAGCCACTCCCACTCCTTACGGAGGTTGCACTTCTTACTGGCAGGTCTGAAATATTTGTTTTCATAAATGCGGCGGGTGTTGAATTACCTCCTTCATTAACCATGTGGATCTCCTGCCCTTTCTATCCTGCGACATCCTTCCAGATATCTGACAACCCACTGACAGTGATTGTTATCATTGTTTTCTAATAACAAAGGTCGCAGATGAGAAGACGTGTGAAACAAACCTGGTAAACGTGTGATTACATTTGCATATATTTTCATACTAATGACGGACTCTCTGTTACAGTGGAGAATCTCTAATAGTTCTATTCAAATTTCATGAGTTGAGTGGCACATATGTGGAGCCAACGAGGGTCTCACTTCAAAGTGACTGTGAAGAGGGTGTGCTAAGTGGTCTCAAGATGCCAAAAAGACAACGACGTCCCACAGTGATCATTTTACGATATCCCATGTTTCTCTGTCCTGAGCAGCTATAGTACAGGTTCTCTAACAGCAGTTTTTTTTTTGTGACAAGCAACCTGAAATTAACTGGAAGAGCAGCTGGCAGGCTCATGCTCAGCTCGGTAGCACCACATTCAGGAAACCACAGGGGGTTGTGGGAATTGTAATACAAAAATTACACTTTTCCCCCATGATTGAATTGGCTGCCGACAGACAGATTTGATTTAATTTGCTCACATCAGAAAGTAAAATCATCAAAGTACCATGCTGGTGTTGAAGGCATGGCCATAGTGCTCAGTTGGGTGGTGCAAGTTCTAATCCAGCTTGTGATATTCCATGTTTTTATTCTGCTTTCTTTTGGTCCATCTCTCAAATGTCAAATGAGACCATCTACTCTGAACAATGTCCCACATTATTTTTTTTTACATAAATATATATGAATAAGTAAGTATTAAACTCAAAGTGGATCAATCAATCAATCAATCAACCAATCAATCAGAGAACCAACAGGATAAAGTCAAAAGTATGAAAATAACTGTTAATGGAATCGTTGTGGAACCAGCATTATTAAATTCCTTACAATTCCCAGGTCTGGGAAAAATAAAAGCCACATACAGTAATTTATATTTATGTCTAAATTGTTTTCTGATACAAAAAAAGAAAAGTTGTTTGTTTATTGAAAAAATTTGGCGAAAAGTGGCAGTTACATAGTCGGAATCCAGGTATACAGTATATCAAGGGTCATTAAACAGTCAGAGCTTTCCATGAAGCTCAATTCTTTTTCGCTATTCATTTATACTGTGAAAATTAGCTGGTTATCTGCAAACGTATCAGCACTGTGTGATCTGAGAAAAGGTTCCTCATAAAACGGACAAATCACCAGTGGATTCAATCTATATGCGGTTGGTGCACAGAAGTCTCTTTAAGACAATGAGGAAGAACCACTTGTACTGCTTTAAGAAAGATTTGTATCTTTTGCTTATAGACTGTCAATCAGAAATGGTGCATACCTGAATCATCCGAATCCTTGCTTTCCGGGGCGTCCTCCATGTCATCATCCGACATCTCCATTTCCTCCTCCCTCCGAATACCCATCAGCTCTTCGTTGTGGATGTTTCTGATCTCCTGTGAATGAGAGGAATAGAGTCTATAATCCCAACTGCTGGACGATCTCTCACACTTTGATTAACACATGAAATATATGAGCCGGAAATGTAATAAGCCATTCGATCAGATTGTAAAATAGAGATTGGACTCCTCAAGTGCTATAAAAGCAGGCGGAGCTGCTCCAGTGGTATCGATGCAGAGAGACACCTGATGTTGGCCGACCTTGTCTATGCGCACAGTCAAACTTTGCACAGGGACTCTTAATGAGTTATAATGGCTGCCAGTGGGGCTTAAACGTTGCAGGAAGTGACTGCACAGCCACCACAGATCGGCAGGTCCGGGCAGGGGCAGATGAAGCAGATGTCTAGGCATGGACGCTGCCCTGTGGGCGCTCCTGATGGGGGAGCTCTCCGCCTAATGAGGCATGCGCACAGCAAACAGATAAGGCTGTGCAAAGACACAACATGACCGCCACAGGGAGAGAGAGACTTACTCTCTGACAACAAACAAAAGGCCCGGCATAAACATTACCATCTGTCTAGCACAGCAACACATGATCTCACTGAGAATTACAGAGGTCGAGCAGGTAGCGCGAAAGCAAACAGGCCCATCTGCCCAATCAGGAGAGGGATAGATGATATGGGGCTACCGCAGGAAGGCAACTAGCTTTCCCGCTTTACACTTTTCTCCAATCTTTAACACAGGACGTCTAGCTGCCCACAGTATAAATGGGCTGCGATTGAATTCAGGTCGTCTAGGCAACTGCAAATAGCCATCTGCTTGGAATAACAATCAGCTTGAAGAGAGGAGAACCCGCAATACTGACTGGACATTTCTGTGTCAGAACCAACACTGACTGAAGCTTTGTTTACACAAGAAATAGCCGGGAAAACTTGCAGGGGAGCTCAAGGAAATGAGGATGAAAATCCTCTCAATTCCACTAAGCCCGAATGTAGCTCTGGGTCAACAACTCATCCGACGCCGCCATCTTACCGTCACATTTACGAGAGAAGCGCAGTGAGGGTCCAAACAGCTCCAAGCAAAGCAAAGCAAACATAGTTTAATAGTGTGTCATCTATTACCTATCACTGTCACCTGCTCCAGATATAACTAACCGGATTCAGGAGTGAAGCAACCTCCTCCTACAGCTGTTTAAATGGCACTAATGGGCTCTATTAGAACATAAACATTTCGAGTGTGAGGTTCAAAGGCTTGTGAAAGCGTGGCATATCCCTGAAGCCCTGCATTGTCATACTAGAAGGATTCCGACAGTTTTGAGGTCGGCTCTTCTTAATACATAATGTAAGAGGTGAGAGAGGCCTGCTAACTCTCTCTTCTTCTCAAATGAGGCTTCAGCCCGCTGTGACAGCATTGAGAGCTTCCTGTCATAGCCACGGTGAAGCTGCAAGCACAATGCCAATCCGGGAAGCTCATATCTGAGGCTAAACATATTCGACTTATGTCAAGTGGTCAGAGCAAAGGGAAAAAGGGGGGATTGGAGGATGAAAACAGCAAGTGAGGACTACATCAGCTTCTTGAAACGATCAAGGGTTATTAGGGTTGTTGCATACCCTTTCTTGTCATCTGATGGGAGAAATGAAAGAGATGAAATGAGAGGAACTCAATAAAAGGGAGCTCAATAAGGATGCAATTACTGCAGCAATAATAAGCTCCTTTCAGAGATGAAGAACAGGGTAAGTGCTAAAAGAACTGTTTCATTTGGAGACAAATCGAATAAAATGTCATTTAAAATTTAGAATAAGGCGGTCAATCAAGGACTCATGAAGTTAAGAAAAGCACTAACTGGCAGTAATAGCGATTTGTCTTAATGTGCTTCACAATGGGCTGGAAATGGATGGACGTGTGCGATATTTCTGATGGAAACGTCCATTTCTGATGACTCTAAATTTTTGCTCAACTGAAATTAAGCAGTTTATCAGGAATGAATGAAAGAAAATGAATTACAACTATGAGATAAGAAACTATAAAGGATTATTTAGGACATGGTGCAACTCATTTTAAACACCTACCTTAAACAGTGAGGAGTTTCTTTCGGCATTTACAGTACCTGCATCTTTAAGCTGTCCCAATGGCTTCAAGTGAACATTTACAACGCAGTCATAGTGAAACATAAAAATCAACTAGAAAAAAAAGGAAGGACGGGGCTTCAGCTTGTGAATTGATTGAATCATTAAAAGTGGCCGTAACATACTACAACAAAGTCAGACCTGAATGCGAGTTTGTTGTTGACTGTACATTACTACCCCTCTCCAACACACACTTTAAGGAGGCTGAAGGTCAAGTTTACCCTCTAGAACATCTTGATGCATCTTGCTTCTCAAGCCATGAGAATTGATTACTGTAAACTTCTAGGGACTTGTTTTTATGACACATGGAAAGTCCAGTCCTCGGTTGATTTCACACTCATCACTTGCCGAGCAGGAGTTCTTAGTTTTATTAGATGTAAAAAAATATCAACCCTCTGATCCATGTAAAATAGTGTTTTAATGTTGCCAGCAATGGAAATTAAAGTGCTAATTAGACACCAGATTGGGTCTTTGTGCACTAATAATCAGAGAGATGTCTTAAAACTTACCCAATGACCACAGAAAACAGAGGAAAGAGACAGAAAAAAACACTTCAACAACAAAAATGTGGAATCATTAATTAGCTTAAAGTGTCTGTCTCCAACTTCCACTAATGTAGAATAAATATCTCTATAAATAGATAATACATTTCTATGGTTTCTATCAGAAAAGACTCAATGTTACCTGCCGGTTGTCAACTGCTGAAATCTCATGGTCAGTGTCGGGTCACATTTCACTACCAGAGAGAGCTGAGCAATTAAACTATCATACCATTAACATTCAACTCAAAAGAAAACACATGGACTTCAGGAGAGTTCAAGTACACATGGAGAGCTTGCAGGGAAGGGGAAATGGAAAAGACTAATATCTGACAGCAACATACTGCATAATTAATTCTGAAGATGTGAAGCATGAACACATTCACTTAAAGAAATGAAAACACCAACCTCTGCTTGCTTTCGCCACATGTCCAGGTTCTTGCGCTGGGCTTTGGAGAAATGGTCCCATGCCTTTTGTTTGGAAGCAGCGTGGAATACAGACACAATCTGCTCAACTGTGGCAGGGGATGCAGGGGCCAGTATGGGCGTCCAAAGAAAGAAAGAGAGAGAGGGGCGATTGGGAAGGTGCAGAGGATTGAAAAAATGTGTCAGGTTGGAAGGAAGTGATGTAGTTTTCCCCTACCCCCCTCTATACAGCATAAACACTGAGCTGGGGTGACTGGTGTATCTGCAGGGATGAGATCGGAATGAGATCACATTTCTGTCTCTTCTGAAAAAAAATCATCACTTTAAAGGGAGAGTTCACCCAAAAATGAATACTTTGTCATTATTTACTCACCCTAATGTCGTTCCAAACCCGTATGACTTACTTTCTTCTGTAAAGCACAAAATATATTGTGAAGAACATTGGGGTCCAAGCATCAAGACTTTCATTCTCTGAAACATTTTTTTTTTGTTTGGAACGAAATGAGAACGAGTAAATGATGACCCAATTTTCATTTTGGGATGAATTATTCCTTTTACTTCTGTGGCAGCTATGGACTGTTGTTGTATGTAGCAAAACAGCAGCTGGAACATTCTGCCTAACAACTCATTTTGTGGTGTATGGACCAAAGAAAATCCTTTAGGTTTCGAATGACATGTGGGTGAGTCAATAATGACAGATTTGTAGACTCTCTTGGGAAGATTAAATGGCAGAATAAAGAATTCCCTACCGTTACCTGAAATCAACTGTTCCGTCTCATGTTTCTTCTTTCTCAATTACCACAACACATCTCTCACCTTCATCGACTCTGCTTGCCGGATAGTCAAAGCATCTCCTGTATTTTAAGAGTACATCAAGTGGAAGCCTAATGTGATGAATGTTTCATCTATGACAGGCTGGGCTCATTACTTCAGTGTGTATAGATTATAGAGGACGTCTCACTTATGTAAACTCATTAAAGCAAACCTTCCAGAAATAGTCATCTGTTCAGAATTAAGAGACGAGGCAGTCAATCAACTGTTTTGGGGGACATGAGTGCTTTGGATGCTGGAGATACATGGCAGTAATTTCCTGTGAGAATGTAAGACAGGAGGAAGGCGCAGGACGAAAGGGGAACAGCTGCTGAGAATCACAGCTGCTAATAGAATGTGCTGCTCTGACATAAACTCCATAGTGCTAGTTTAAGTTCCAAAAACTAGCAATCTGCCAACCTAGACGGTGTTTTGAGGTAACATCGGTGCGCTAATGACATGAAAGCGGAACCAAAAAGTAGGCGGCATAATTATGCGCATTCCTGTCGCCTAAACGTAAGGCGGCAGCACACGCATCCTTTGTAGAGAAAAAAAAATCATCCAAGATAGTGGATGACAAGGCAAAACACACTATTATTCAAAAAATTGGACATGTTTTTTGAGCAGCAAATCAGCATATTAGAATGATTTCTGAAGGATCATGCGACACTGAAGACTGGAGTAATGATGCTGAAAATTCAGCTTTGATCACAGAAATAAATTACATTTTAAAATATATCAGCTATTTTAAATAATATTATTTCACAATATTATTGTTCTTATTGTATTTTTGATCGAATAAATGCAGTGAGGATGAGAGACTTCTTTCAAAAACATGAAAAAATGTTACCGATCAACTTTTGAAAGGCAGTATATTACGTTAAACTTTGAAAAATATCAGTAAAATACATCAATGCAATGAATGGAGCGCTTTACCAACTATTTTGTGATTGTGATGATTTTAGTGTTGGTCTATTAGAATGTCTTGCTCTTAACTTAGCGAAATACTAATGTAAAGGTTTGTATGTTCCAAAAAAATAAAACAAAATCACGGTATTTTGCACAAGATTCCTTAATTTTGCTGCATTGCAAAGTTCACTGTCACTCATATCCAAATGACTTCAGGTTGGTTTTCGCTATTTAACACTGTCATTGTGAGCGGCCCTTCAGAAGGAAACAGACAGCAAGGCATCTCACTAGGTTTTGTCGTCTAGACTTCACCAAGTATTACTTTAAATCTCAGCATGCCTGTTACTTTTAGCAAAATCTGATAGGTCTTTAAGCTACTGTCATGACTAGATCATTTAAGACTATCATATCATATTTCAAAGAGCTTCTGCATGTGCAATGCATCGTGGATCCAAAAAAAGTGTCTGGGAAATGACATTAAAGCATGCATCAGCCTAAGTGATGCAACTGAAGGACTGACAGACAAAAACATATGGTGCCAGCGGCTTGATAGATGCATGACATCATTACTGATAGTATAACGTGACCTATGCAGATTCACTCAGAGATCCCATTTCTCTCTCTGTGAGAGGGGGTTAATAAACCTTGGGGAGTCAGGAAGGATGCCAAACACATCTGTCTGCGGCAACGGCATGCTCAAAAGTGAGAGGCCCGATCGATAGTGACTTCAGCATCCTTTAATTTGACGGAAGAGATCGATGGCAAAGCCAGGACGGAGAGCATGTGCCTGAGTGTATGCACCACTGAGATTGTGTAGGTGCATGTAAGTGTGCAGTGTTTTTAGTCTGATGTGCATGACAAAGTGTCACTAGTTTGAGTTTCACATGTTCACCATTTACAAATGAAAATTGTGTAGTAATAGTTAAACTTGTGTCTGATTTAGGCCAAAACAACAGCCTTGAGCCGTGCAAGCTCGATATCATGCATCATTACCAATTGTGTCAGACTGCATTCACAAGTTTATAATGTAACGCAGGTACGTGTTGCTTCTCAGCACTACCGCAAGTCCAGTCCTCTCTACAGTCAGTTTTCAACTGTCATGGCAGAGCAACAGTCTGAAAGCAGTCTTGCTCAGCATGTTGATTTAATGGCACAGACGTTTGAAGATAACTTAATCACCCCCTGGAGTACTGGGCTATGTCACTTTAATGTGCATTTACATTTATGCTTTTATCTAAAGCGACTTATGTTGTTTTCATGATATACATTTCGATTTCTATGTTCATGCATTCCCTGGGAAAAAAAATCATGATCTCAGCTTTACAAGCAGCTTTCTCTGCTGCTTAGCTACCACATACTGTACTTGCAATGCACTGGTCTAGCCTTGACTTCTGCATTTGCATATTTATGTTTAGTATGTTTCTGGCCTTTCTCTGCGTTTATATTGCCTCAAATTTCCTAACAAATATTGTAGTAAAAAGCAAAACCGAATTCCTGATTTAAAGACTAAAAAATCTATTTTAAATAAATGTTGTTTTAAACTTTCTATTCATCAAAGAGTCCCGAAAAAATGTATTAATTTTCAAAAAAAAAATGAAGCAGCACAACTGTTTTCAATACTGATAATAACAATGTTTCTCGAGCAGCAGACTTTAGTTAAAAAAACATTCAAAAAATTTTACCGAACCCAAATGTTCGGTAAAAGGTAGTGTATGTCTTTCACTTTAAAGGTGCACTAAGCAATATTTCAAAAACACTTTTGACCACAGCGTCAGACGGAGTCCTAAAACACACTTGTAGCCAATCAGCAGTAAGGGGGCGTGTCTTGTTATGATAGAAAGAAGAGAGCGCTCAATTTGAGTGCACAGGATGGATATTAGCATATTGACTATAGATAGAGAGATGGCAGATAAAAAAAAAGAGGAAAATATCAGAGAAACAAAACATTAAAAAGAAGGGTTACGATCAGGCAAGAGGTAGGACCCGCGTAAATATCGGAGCAGCTTTCCAGCGGTGGAGAGAACTCAAGGAGCGGGAAGGGCTCGACTCGGACGCCGAGGTTGCATTGTTTTTTCTTCGTGATAGGTGAGTAATGTTGATTTTGCTTTGTTTCACGCAACTTATCCGTGTTGGCTTTTGTTTGAATATGCTTGTGTCATATCATCTTCACTTGTTTCCGCGATCGTCGTTGCCAGGGTTGTGTACGTACTTGTGGGGTGGAGATTTAAAAATAGGGGCGAGGTCCTGTTGGGCTATGGGCGTGTTTGTTTTGGTGCTTTCAAATATCAACATCGTTTGGCAAAAATCGCTTAGTGCACCTTTAAGTCAGTATTGTTATTATTGGCACCATATCAGCCGATAATGGTAATTATTAAGCATCAGTTGATACTGTATGCATCTGAATGCTTATTTCTGCCTATCCAAGGTGAATTTTTAATTATACGATATAATTTAGCACTATAATGACAGAATGCAGCAAAAATTTAAATTTTTGATACAGGATGTGCTGTGCATGTAACTAATTTTGCCTTTACTAATATGACTCCAGTATATAATAAGGCTTTTAAGCTCAAATATATATCTATGACATTAAGCAAAGTGATAATTTAGTTAATTTATTTGTATAAAATACTACAGATTTATAATATCAACCATTATGTGAAAATATTTACTTGTCGTCTCCCATGTTTGTGCAATAATAAGAAAGCTGTTTTTTTGCGAGGTTGTTTACAGAAACATTAACACTTTTACTACAAACCATCCATTAGATGGGGCAAGCACAGATTTGGTTTGTGACAGCACCCGTCTGCCGCCTCAGCCAGAATCCAGCGTCTTAAGCTGAAAGTCTTACCCAGAATTCCCCTGTCACCGAGTCCCACCTGCCACTGCGACAACCTGCTGCTCTACCCTCCTGCAGGGCTGCAACCCCAGCAAGCTTTTAGCTGTATCCTTGCACTTCATCCTTTATTTTGCTGTGTGCTCTGTCTGCGTTCAGATAAGACAGATGCTCAACTGTCACAATGCTTTCTCTCCTCTGCGTGAGTGACTGTTCCGCTGCACGTGTTTGCCATCACGACAGACCAGACATTACTAGAGTGCCAGATACTTGGTTTGTATCAAAGGTTGCTGTCTGCTGATTGCAGATAAAAGGCTGGACGCTGCTAAATACCAGGGGAAGCTACTGGAAGGTGCTTCTAAGGTGACATGACCTTTCTGATGAAACATCTGTAGCTAGTTTTCCTGATAGAAGATAACTCTGACAGACAGCTCGAGCAGGCTTGGTAGCAAATCAGTACTGTCACTATTTCCTCAAGCAGACGCTCTAAACTCATTAGAATAACCTGACAGGCTTCAGAAGGAAATATCTATAAGAGAGAACACAAACAAGCAAACAAACAGAAAAGACATATTCTGGAAGATGAAGTCTGTATCTCTGGGAAGGTGATGTTTTGTCTCTTCAAAACAATAAAACACCCTTGGATTTCAACCTGTCACTAGAGAAGAGACGTATTGGTAAATATGTTTATGCCTGCGGATGCTTGTGAAACTCCATCTCTATATGACATCAGGATGTATGCGACTAGAGTGTATGGCATAATGCTCTGATAGACATCAGTGATGTTGTGCAGTGATGACTGTGAAGGCATATGCAGAAACTTACCATGACATTCAAATTAGATCAAGTTACTGTATGACATTACTGATAATTCAAGCATTATTCCAGATCGTCATGTCTATAGGACAGTGAATCATGATTGGACCAGGAACTCCAATCGTATCAATAATAATAGCAGCGAAGTCAGTATAGGAGGAACACTTTCTATGAAGCCTGTACTGTATATTGATGCAGTATAACTCATATTGCCTTATAATGTAATCTTACAATCATTTGCATGTTCTTACAAATACTTTAATCAGTTATAACACTTTCAAGAGTATGAAGCAATAACTCTATGATTAGCACCACATTTCTTGTGCCATCATGTGTTTCATGTGCATTTACTCTTTAGAGGTGTTACCATGAAATTATTATAATGTTTTTTGTGACTGAAATAGAACACCTTATATGAAAAGACTCAAATGAGGCTTTCTACTGAATAACATCACTAAAAAAAGTTTCACTGATTATTCAACAAACACCAAGATAACGGATATTTCTGGCAAGTCTGCAAAGCCTATATGACTAAGTGTGGTGTGAACTTTAACATTTGTTTATTCTCCACCATTTCTTTCTAAAACAATTGGTTCAGAGTCACCTGCAAAGAAAAAGCACAGATTTTTGTGCAGCTTAGGAGTCACAATGTTTTTTTTTTCTCCATTGTTCACCACTTTTATCTTTTTTTTATAGCAGTCATAAAACATAATGAATAATTCAATTTAATTATTCATGATATATTTGCTTTAACAAGGAACTATAAATAGAATATTGTTACATCTAAAAATAGGCTTTTGTGGTTTGCCCATACCTTACTATATCCAGATACAGACAATTTTGTCATTTACACAGATACATATACACTACCATTCAAAAGATTTTGTCTCTGAAACAATTCTCTTCTGCTCACCAAGGCTGCATTTATTTGATAAAAAATGCAGTAAAAACAGTAATTTTGTGAAATATTATTAAAATTTTAAATAACTGTTTTCTATGTGAATATATTGTAAAATGTAATTGATTCCTGTGATGCAAAGCTGAATTTTCAGCATCATTGCTCCAGTCTTAAGTGTAACATGATCCTTCAGAAATTTGCTGCTCAAGAAACATTTCATTTTTATCAACGTTGAAAACAGTTATGCGGTTTCATATTCATATTCACAGATTCTTTGATGAAAAAGTTCAAAAGAACAGCATTTATTAGAAGTAGAAATCTTTTGTAACATTAAATGTCTTTACTTTCACTTCTGAACAATTTATGTGTCCTCGTTGAATACAAGTATTAACTGCTTCTAAAGAAAAGCCCCAAACATTTGAAAGGTAGCGTATACAGAAAATGGCTTTGCTGCACACTCCTTGTGCATTATAAGGAATTGTGCATTATATATAATGCATCATACATACAGGTTTCACACAAAGTGTTATGGAAGAGTTAAAAGCCTATGCATACGTGTGTTGTTGAGTGACATGTCATCAGAAGTGTATCTGATTCTCTACAAGCTCAAGTCAAGGTTATGTGAGCAATCAGTCGAGCTAAACATGACAAACTAGTGATTGGGCTTACTTACTTTTAATCTATGAAGGGTCATCAGGTGTGCTGTCCAGAGACTAAGCAGCTAAACCAAATCACAGACTCTGGGTCTTGATGATCTACACATACCCGATAGATTCACATACTCTACCTTCTTCTGCATTCAGCTCAAAGTGGTAGAAGCCTATGGAGCACTTACCTTTGGTCCACACTGATATCAGATCAAACACTATAAACACAGTCGTGGAAAAGCTGCAGTGCAAAAGTAACTGACGGCAAAGCGTAAACTGCTTTTGAGGTCAAGAGTTGGGCAGATTTTCTTAACCTTTGCCGTTGCATTCAGAAGTGTAGCTTTCTAACAAATACATCTGAATACCTCCTGCTGATACTTCAGTAAATACACGCCACGCTGGTACATTTAATTACACTTCATCAAGAGATGCTTATGTATGATATTCAAACGCACTAACTTTTCAAATTTTCAAGGCAAGATTTTCTCTGCCTTGACCTTTCAATAGGTCTGTATTCATTTTTGTTCCATTTCTTTTACCCTAGTTGCATATTAATGCAACATTCTCTCTAAATGCCCACAAGCCCCCTATATACTTGAATCAAATGCACACTGCCATGCATCAAGGAAACTATGCGTGTGTGAGTGTGTGAGTGGTAGTTCCATTTCTCTGGGCATTGGATCAATCAGGTACAAAGCACTGCTTGCGTTGGGCGTACTATCATGATGGCAGGAACTGAAGTGTAATCATGCGGTAGCTGACAGCACCCATTTACTGAATGCTTCCTTTTGTGCCTGATAGCATAGATGAAACTACATTGACTTCACAAAACAGGCACTTCTGGGCTCTTCAGACAAGAAGCTTTTAGTCCTGGCGCTGCATTTCTAATGATCTGTGAACATTTCATAATGTAATAATGCTCGCTAAGTTTAATGAAAGTTATTATGAAGTGATACCTATGGTTTATAGTGAAGAAATATACACAGGTTGTTCCTGTGTGTTAGTTGCACATACACTACTATTCAAAAATGGTAGTTTTTTGGGGGAGAAATTAATACTCAAGGATGCATTAAACTGATCAAAGATGACAGTAGAGTCATTTATAATGTTACAAAAGATTGCTCTTCAAATAAATAAAATTTTTCTATTCATCAAAGTGTCTGTTTAAAATATTGATAATCAGTAATGTTTCTTGAGCAGTGAATTTGCATATTAGAATGATTTCTGGAGGATCATGTGAAGACTGGAGTAATGATGCTCAAAATTCAGCTTCAATGACATTACACAATATTACGGTTTCTTTGCAAAAAAATGCAACCTTGAGACTTCCCTCAAAAACATTTAAAAACTCTTACCGACTCCAAACTTTTGAACGGTACTATTTATCAAGTTATGGATCACACATTTTCATACATACAGCAAGACTGTTCTAAATGTGAATTGTGGCATATAAAAGTAAAACAATCACACAAACACGTGTGAAATGTGTTATCTGGCCTAAAATCTCGGTATTAGTCAGCGGTCATGTATTTGCCCTTATATTTGCTCTGAACGGTGAAATCAGTGAAATCATTTCAGGGTTTGTGCAATGCCTCAGAGAAATGCAAATCTACAGCCACCAGCTGCGATTGGATCAATTGGGTCTTATTAGATCAGAGCTGTGATCTGCGAGCTATCATAATTCATGTAAAATCCACCACCAATAATGATGGAAATCAGCAGAAGACCAAAAATCCTATACTTTCAATCAATGTTTCAATCCCTCAAAAATAATTTTTAGTCATTTCCAGTTCAGTCTGAAAATCTTTTATGCAGAGTGCCTTTTTTTGGTTGTAAACAGTAAATTTATCATGAGTAATTTAACATCTCTCCAAGCCTAGTGAGCTGTGAAATGCACATGATGCCCAAAAATGCTGTCTGGGTTAGCAGCTTACTAGGGTTTGAAACAGAAGCAACATCTGTAAAGAAACACTCACATTGTACTAAAATCCCAGCAAGGGCATTTTTGAACTTCTCCTTGGCCTCCTCCATCTCCTTCTCATGTGCGGCCTTCTCGTTCATCAGCCGGCGAATGTGGCTGCTGGAGGACTGGATCATGGAATAGATGTTGTTGGCGTTTCTGCGGTTTACCTCCCCTCGTTCCACCCAGGTCAGCAGGACACGCACGGCCTCGGCAAATTTAGAGTCGTCTGAGTGGAGAAAGGAAAAACGGTGGGGGAGAAACAGATGGTGGGACGAGAGCTCAGTACAATGTTGGAGAGGAACACTTCTCATCTGGGACCTTCTAGTGTCAAAACTTATTAGCAAGACATGTTTACTGGGCCAAAAAAGACAGCAAGTGCACACTAGCGAAGTAGAGGACATTTAGGAGAGGACAAGAGAACAGGGACGGACATCAACAGCATGCAATAGGCTTGGACGATCAAACTTGTCAATCATAACTCACGGACATTATTGTGTGCTTTCTGTTAAAAGGGGTAGTAATATTACTTAAAATGATTCAGTTGTTCATGAAGTCCTGAGACACACAGGTGTGTGTGTGTGTGTTTGTGTGTGTGGAAAACAGTCCAGCCGATTGCTCTGAAACTACAAAGCTTTGGCTTGCAACTTTCAGCTGGGAATGAGATGAGAAACAGAGAAAACTGAAAATCACTGTAATGAATGCCACATGGAGTCTCTTCCAGAAATCTATTATTTTTTAGTGTTGCTGTGTTTGTTTAAAATCTGCAAATAAAAAAAAATCAACTAAAAGAACAGTTTGGCAGAGATTTGCGGAGCTATTTGGTGTTAACTGCGTGACAGATGAAGGACTGTTGTAAAGGTATTGCTGTCTGTATATCGAAGATGACTTGTGTTGTAAAAAAATAAAAAAGACAAACATAATTATTTTGTTTTTGTATACTTGTTACTGTAATCCTGTAAAGCACACAAACACATGTCTGACTGAGATTTCTAGGAGGCTTTGATTTATTTTATAGATGTCCTAACTACAGATAATCAAAAGATGCTGTCAAATAATTTAAATGAATAATCCATCAACCCTTTTAAGACTGCATCAATGTGTCATGCATATGAAATCCCTCTCCATCAATAAACTGATTTAGCTGCTGATTTATCCGATTCAGACTCAATACGTCAGAACTAACAGATTCAAAAATAATTGTCAAACCTGATTATACAGACAAATCAAGCAGATATAAGGATGCTGTTGAGATTTTCTCCAGCAAACAGCATGCGATATCATCCTTTCCTCTCTTCCCTTCATCTTTTACCTGTAAACACTGCAAACTGAGCTGAACTGCATATAAACCATTACATATGGAAAAGTGGCTAATGCACATGGCTAATTTCAACTGATTTCATCTCAAAAGCTTCTCTTTATTACACTTTCTCTCTCGGACAGAGATTTGAGATGCAGTCATTAAACAGATGGTTTCTATTAAACCGCATGGAACGTCAAACTCAAAGAGACAAACAGCTTTTAGATGCATCCAGCCAACAGGAAACAACAGAGGTGTGACTGACAAAAACAACTAAATCCCTGTAACAGAAGAATAACACGTCACGTGTCCCACCTTTGAGCTTTTCTCCTAACTGGCTGCACTCGTGCTCAGAGAAATGAACGATGGGGGGCGGCGAGGGGGGCCGCAGACGGTCCTCTTCTATCCTGCGCCGGTGCCTCTCTTCCCGGGCCAGCATGCGCTGTCTGCACTCCCACTCGTACAGGTCATCTCGAGCCTGAGCAAAATCTACATGCAGCCGGCCTGTGTCCTTCTTATCTGTGCTTGATCCCAGCCTGATCCTATAACCTACAGAACAGGGAAATGGAAATGGACAATGACATAGGAAAAGGAAAGGGAAGGAATTGAAGGTAAGGAAAAGAAAGTGGAAATGGAAGGGGAAGCAGAGTAAAGCAATAAAGGAAAAACAAGAATGAGAAAGAGGAAAGGAATGGGGAAAATGAAGAAAGGAAAAGAACAGGATGACAAAGGAAAATAAAATAAGAAGGGAAAGTGAAATGGAACAAAGGACATAAGAAGGGGAAGGGGAGGAAATGACAGAAAAAATGAAAAACGGAAGGGGAAAGGTGAAAAATAAAGGGAAGTGGATTAAAGTAATGGACAAGAAAAGACAGGAAAAGAAAGAGGAAAGGAATTGGTCAAAGGAAAATAAATAGGTAAGGGGTAAAAGAATGGGAAGGGGAGTAAAGGAAAAACAATGAAAGAAATAAAAGGAAAAAAAAATCAAGAGGAAATGAAAGGAAGAGAAAGAGGAAGGGTGAACCAATCAAAGGGAAAGAAAGGAAAGAGGAAGGGAAAATGAGAAAAAGAATGGGAAGGGAGTGAAGAAGTGGACAAGAAAAGACATGGATTGACAGAAAAAGAAAAAGGAAAGGAAACAGGAAAAGAAAAGAAAGAGGAAGAGGAAGGGGAAACAGAAAAAAAGATAATGGAAATGGGAGTGGAGAAAAGAAGTTGAAGGGGAGTAAAGTACAGGACAAGAAAAGACAGAAGAACAATAAAAGAAAAAAACAGAAAGGAAAAGAGGAATGAAAACGGAAGAAAAGAGTAAAAAAGGGGAAAAAAAACAGGAAATTGAGAAAATGAAAAGGAAGGGAAAAAGAAAGGGAAGGGGAAAAGAAAAGAAAAGGAAAAGGTAAGTATAGGAAAGGACGGAGAGGAAAGGAAAGGAAAAATGAGGGAAAAAAGTAGAGTGCAATAAGTTAAATGGTAAAAAAGGAAGGAGAACAGGACAAGAAAATGAGAGCAGCAGAAAAGCATTGAGCCTTAACAAACCACATGAATGTAATGAGAAAAACAACATATTAGCAACACTGATTCATGAAGTGACCCATGACAAAGAGACACCCACAAACACTCTCTGATGCTTAAGCTTTACTTCTAACATGTGCTTGCTGACAAGGCCAAACCACGCATATTTGTTTATTTTGTAGGAAATGTATAAAGCCTCAAATGTTACACTCAGATGAGGAAATTGAAAACCAAAGCCCTACCAGCACAAACAAGCCATGATGTATGAGAATAATCTGGTTTGTGATAGGGCTGAAAAAAAGAAAGTGATTTTTATTAAGGATTATATATTTCAATTGCTCGGAAAAGTATCTTGACAAATGGCCAAGGGGTAGGTGAAAGAGGCTCCAGTGAATTCTGAATCGTATGATGCTGAGAGTACATTACAGAGAGGCTGAGAAGTGTTTTGAAGGAGAATGTATATTCACAGACGGCCGTGTCAACAGAAATGAGAGAAAGAGCCTCACGGTTTGCTTCCGCCACTCTATCACTGCTTTACAGCCCTGAGACACTGTTAAATATTTTACGCAATGTGTTCACGTTAGAAATGAGCAACATTATTTATGGAAAGGCCTGCAGAGCTCCGTCACGAGGCCACATAATATATGGGGCGCCGCTCCAATCTCGCCCCTCTCCATTGAGAGAGCAACACTCTCTACAGACGTATAAATAATGGAAAAGGTATTATTGAAGCAACCGGCACTTTAAATTTGCTTTCTGTGGCTGAGATGGACATCCTACTATTTGCATACAAAGACTGATTTAAGATGTGACTGGATAAGAGAAGCAGCTGATGTGACCGGTGTTGAGCAGGTGATTGATATGCAGCGTTCAAAGGCAGAAAAGTATTACTAGGTGTCGGCGCTTGTCTTCTCTTTGACCTCTTCTGTCAGGGACCCTCGAGGGCCAGCGTCTACAGATCTTGAGTTCTGTGAGTGATGTGCGGAAGCCCCGCCCCCCTAATTAATTCTGCATCAATCCATCAAGTCAAGAGGGAACTTGTGGACACATGGGCCTCATTTCCAAAAGGTTAAGTGAAATTATTCTAAATCACATGGCGTGGCACATAAGTGCTAGGCATGATTTAGTGCTCTTATTTGTATTCTTGCTTATGAAATTGTGAAATATTAAGGGTGTAATCTACAATGAAAGTTCACAATTTAAAAGATAGCTGCTGTTAGTGTCAATTCAAATATTAAATTAAAAGATTTTAATGATATATGTAAATGAAAATAAAAACAAACATAAAAATAAAATTCATATTAACAGTATATTTAGCCCATTAACCTTTTTATGAATCCTAACAATGCCTGGGAGAATGATATGGTTTAGCGTAATTATCAAAACGCAAAGACTGCATTGTAATGATTTAATATGCAATCTGATACACTGCATTGTAATATTTTCTCTTGAGCCGCACATGATAACAGTTTTCATCGCTTATACGTGCATTTGAAAATGCAATATGCAACACACACTGTCCCAAGTTTATGAAAATGGTTTATAAGGAAAAAACAAGCATAAATATTAGTATTGCAATTAATATTAATTATTATTATGAAATACTTTACAGTTCAATAGTATTATAGTTATATTTCTATTTAATCGTTTAATTTTTATAAACAAACAACAACAACAGCAGCAATAATAATAATAATAATAACAATAATAATTATTATTATTATAAATTGCAATTGTTGTGTTTCCCTAATTTGTTCTACCTGGATTTTTTATGAAATAATACAAATACAGTTTCATGGGCAGTAAAAAATATTTATGGCCGGTAAATTCTCCCAAGTCACTGGCCATTGGCAGGTGTGGCAAAATGTGTTTTACACCCTGTATGTTTGTATGTATTAGGGCTGCCCCCTAAAAGTCGACTAACCGTTAGTCGACGAGAAGAGGCTTGACCGACCAAAATGTTATTAGTCGCTTAGTCGAAGAAAAGGAAAAATCCACAGGCGAAGTCACGCAGACCGTGACGGACAGATCGTTAACGGCTGGTCTACTTTTAAATGAACCAATTCGAATGGAAAACAAATATTCTCTGATTATGTAATCCGTATGAATCATGCATGCAGGCGCATCACTACTGCGGAGAGTCAGTGTCGCCGACTTCATCTCAAGCCGAAAGCACTAGTTTATCAATAAATTATTAAAATGTTAATGCAGTGTTTTTCCCTGACACATTCATAATTATTAGTGTTTCCCATACATTGGTTTATTTATGGCGGCCCGCCACAATAACAACACTGACCGCCACAAATAGATTTTCCAAAAGGCTTTGACTTTGTTGAATAAACATGAGCACTGCACGTTTCAAAGTCAAAACGCGACGCGGGTGTTTTTATATTAATGTATTTTGAAGGGAACTGACTGTTTTTAGAAACGTTTTGTTGTTATTTTAATTTAATCTTTACTATAATGCATGATAAAGCAGCGTTTATGAGCGCAGCTCTGCTTTATTTACAGCTGTTACCAGGGAAACAGCTGTTTCTGCCGCTCCTAAAGCGCCTCCTGCTGGCAGAGAATTAATTAGCATTTTCAATCAGTCAGCCCCTCTGCTGTTTTATACCCTATATTTCCCCCGGGGAAATTGCCGCCACAAATAGTGTAAATAGTGTGAGTGTAAGCCTGTGGGAAACACTGTATTATTATATCTGCCGGTGTACTGTGGCAAGCTTTATGCGTGCGCTCGAGCGCTTATTAGGCTACGTAGGCAAAGGCTCATTATAATGATTTAAATGGTTTATTAACAAATGTGCGATTAGACAACTAATGCTTAAATTGAACGACTACTAGTCGACCAGAAAAATCTTTAGTCGAGGACAGCCCTAGTATGTATGTATGTATGTACAGTTGTGCTCATAAATTTACATGCCCCTTGCAGAATATGCAAAATATTAATGTTTATCAAAATAAGAGGGATCATGAAAATTGCATGTTATAGTTTATTTAATACTGTCCTGAATAAGCTATTTCACATAACAGATGTTTATATATTCTCCACAAGACAAAATAATAACTGAATTTATAAAAATGACCCCGTTCAAAAGTTTACATACCCTTGAATCTTAATACTGTGTGTTGTTTCCTGGATGATACACAACTGTCTTTCTGTTTTGTAATAGTTGTTAATGAGTCCCTTGTTGGACCTGAGCAGTTCAACTGTCTGCTGTTCTTCAGAAAAATCCTTCAGCTCCTGCACATTCTTTGCTTTTCCAGCATCTTCTGCATATTTGAACCCTTTCCAACAGTGAAAGGCAACACAATACATTAAGAGCCAGAGGGTGTAAACTTTTGAACAGGATGATGATGTGTAAATTTGTCTTATTTTGTTTAAAGATCATATTTTTTTCAATTGGTACTGCACTTAAGAAGCTACATAAATACTTAAATGTTTCCCAGAAGACAAAATAAGTAAAATTTAACCTGATCATCCAATTCAAAAAGTTTACACCCCCTAGCTCTTAATGCATTGTGTTGCCTTCTTGAGCATCAGTAAATGTTTTCACCTTATATAATAGTTACAGTGGTGTGAAAAAGTGTTGGCCCCCTTCCTGATTTCTTATTTTTTTGCATGTTTGTCACACTTTAATGTTTCAGATCATCAAACAAAATATTAGTCAAAGATAACACAAGTAAACACAACATGCAGTTCTTAAATGAAGGTTTTTATTATTAAGGGAAAACAAAATCCAAAACTACATGGCCCTGTGTGAAGAAGTGTTTGCCCCCCAAAAAAATAAGAAATCAGGAAGGGGGCCAACACTTTTTCACACCACTGTATGTATGAGCCCAATTGTCCTCAGTGTGAAAAGATGGATCTCAAAATCATACAGTCATTAGCTATGTTTCCATAACCCTGTTTTAATGCGCATTTTGAAGTATCGCATGAGAGATGAGTGATGGAAACGCCAAATTTCGAATAAAAATTGAAAAATGTTCATTCGCAAAAAAGTTTTTACGCTCGCTTGAGGTGGTTTTTGACTTGTGCGAAAAAGGGTTGATGCGAATAATGGGAGATGGAAATGCATTTTGCGAATACATTCCTCCAAGCACATCAAAAAAGTCATGTGACTTTGCGCTATGGGACTGCAAATCCTGACTAACCAGTGGACTGATCTCATTCCACAGCATCTGAAATGTTGTTATGCACAAGCAAAGTCCGTCATCAAAGTATTTCTGTATAATTGGCTCCCAGAAATGTCTTACATGACTGCGTTCCCAAACAGCAGCATCCACCACCGAAAGCAATGACCGCATTCATTGTGTTTCGTCTGCTCGCTCTGAGGCGTAAGTAATTTATTATACATGAAAATTATTATATTCTCCTACTTTTATTAGAGATTTATAGTGCCAGTTTATCAGGAAGTGACGATTTTGTTCTTTTTGACTTGTTGGATGGAAACGATGCTTGTTCGCAAATGTTTTAATGCGATATTCCAGTTTTGCGCACAAGTTAAATTCGCAACTTTGGATGGAAACCCGGCTACTGTTGGAAAGGGTTCAAATATGCAGAAAATGTTGGAAAAGCAAAGAATGTGCAGGAGCTGGAGGATTTCTCGGAAGAACAGCAGGCAGTAGAACTGCTCAGGACCAACAAGGGACTCATGAACAACTATCACAAAACAGAAAGAGTCATGGATCATCCAGGAAACAACACAGTATTAAGATTCATTCAATTTTGAACGGGGTAATTTTTATAAATAAAGTTATTATTTTGTGTTGTGGAGAATATATCAACATCTGTAATGTGAAATAGCTTATTCAGGCCAGTTTTAAAAAAACAATAACATGCAATTTTCATGAATGTTTTGCATATTCTGCAAGGGGCATGTAAATTTATGAGCACAACTGTACATATATATAATTAATAATTTACATATTATTTATATATGCATTAAAGTTATTTAAATTATTCCTAAATATTTTATATGATTTTAGTTTTCATAGATATGTCCATACTTAAATAAATAAAACAATTCTCATATAGAGCAACTGTTGGTGTTGCAGAGAGATCCTCCCGATCATGTACCTGACAGGAAGAGGGCCTTGTCCACTGTGTGCTCCTCAGCGAAGCGGATGTGACAGAAGTTCTTCTTGCTCTTGCGGATGGCGATGATACTCCCGCACTGTTCGAACACCTCTACAATGAGCTGCTCTGTGGCGTTCTCTGGTAAACCGCCCACAAACACCGTCTTACAGCCGGGCGGTCTCTCTCTGGTGGCAGGGGGAGGCAGGTCTTTGAAGACAAGCACAAAAGAATATTAAACTACCAGAATTTTTGACATTTTCTTTCATCTAGATATTGATCTCCATTTTTCACCGCATTAAGTCCATAGCTCATTATTGACTCGTATGCCACATATGAAAAAGATGAAACATGCAAAATCAATCAATGATTGTTTTTGTTTTTTTACGACCTTGACATTAAAATGATTTATTATCCAATTCTAATCTAAAAGACCAGGGTTCATCTGGAAGATCGTTAAAAACGGTAATGTGCCAAATCACATCGATCAGACTGACATATTTTTGGCCTTTTGCCACTTTTATTTGATAGTCTTAGCATAGACAGGACTCAAACTCAATATGTCACTGGATCTTTCTCTCGACTGGTTTAATTTGCAGAACACGGCACTAGAACCTCCAGGTTCACAAAGCTAATCTCTTCTTGATAAACCAATTCAACCATGAATAAGATGCATTGAGAAAACCAGGCATAATCAATGAAACTCGGCACTTGCTACATGACTGGATTACAAGTGCAAAGCTTGCCATGTTCTGCTGTTAGCTGATTCCTCAGCGATGCTGTGCAGACCAACGGGTGATAATCCGTGTCTTAACAAACTATGGGAATGCAGATGAAGGAAGCACCTGCTGGGACTCAGAGGGGACCGCGTGCCTGATGGGGGGTCCAAACAGAGTCGGACGCAAAGCTGTTCAGGCATGTTTGGCTGTAAGCCAGTCACTATAAATAAGTGAGTCTCTTTGGACCCCACAGCTGCCCCCTAACACTCGCCATCCATCATCACCAACATTACACTAACTTCTGTTTATTGTGGCGGCTCATGATGAGCTTTATATTTATGTCAGCTCATGCCAGTGGAAAGAATATAATAGTCCACTGACTAGAGGATGTGACATATGTGTACAGCTTCAATACAACACTATACGAGCATGCATATGGACCAAAACGATTCAGATGTCAGTCATGGGCTTTGGATGACATGCTGTGGTATTGTAAAAAAAAAAAGAATAACTCTGTAAACATGTTTACCAAGCATAAAATGACTTGTCTGTCTGATCATCACTGAAGTCTGAATGGGATTTTGTTTATTTGCTTGCCTTATTTTAGCACCTGATTCATTGAAGGAATTATGTAAATCAGGTACTGCTGTAAATATGGCAACAAAATTAGTGCTGACAGCAATTCACACCTCGGCTGGATCTGGAAGACTGAATACCATGATTTGATACACTCTTCTGAGCCTCACGAATCGACTCTTTACAAAGCTGAAAATGATTCTTTATGGTTGCCATGATCACTAGAAAACATACATAAACATTCATTTGAAATAAAATCCAGTTTGTTTTAATAGTGTCATGTCTTTCCTTTGAAAGCACAGTGTCAACTGCGTTGGCCAATGTATGCTAATGTTCTTTTTATAAAGAGCCTTATTTGCATAGAAAGGATTTGCCCATAAAGGAATGACATGAATTTGAATATGCATGGAACAGCACTGTATGACATACAGCACCTGCTTATGTTGGGCTCTGAGTATGTTAATAAACGCGTGGTCACATTTACCTTTCTACAGCGAAATTCTGCAGCCAAAAAGTCATTGTTTCACCTGTGAAGTTTCGTTAACGTGACCTCACCTTAAGCTGCATGTATGGTTTTGTGCTGAAATACAGGGTTGCAAGGTCTGCATAACAAAACCACCCCAATTGGTACTAAAAAACAGCCCAATCACAGCCCATTTGGTTTCTAGGCGGTCAAAACCTCCTCCTTCCGCGGCAACAGTATACAAGTAGCCAAATTCCGCTGGAAAACCATGGACTTGGCAACACTGCCAACACTGAATTCACCTCTCATTGTCTAGAAAAGAACACGGTTATTATGTCTACTTTCTTATGTAGATTTTTGTGTACTATTATGGATCAAGAGCTTTGATTATCCGGCCAGTACACAGGCATATTTAAGAAAACCACAGACACATGCACTGACAGAGCAAAAACGCACTAATCTAAAAGCTGAACACTAACGTTAAAGTTGAGTTTTTCTCAGCATGAGCATAGAACGAGAGACTTGAGGCTGCTAGTTTAAGAACAACCACTGAGAATCTCAAAGGGGCAAGTCGTTTGGTTTTCATCTTACGCTGAGCTCTATTAAATACTGGTTGCTGGCCCAGGTGAGCAAATGTTTACTTTGTCAAATGCACATGAACATTTTAGCTTGACATCAGCAGTCTCTTGAAAGTTGAAACTTTGAGCAAGCAATAAAAACACAGAGTAGATGTTTGCTTTAGGAGGAACAGAGGAGCTCCACAAGAAAGAGTTTGATACATCTGAACTTTTCTAAATCAAATACACCCACTTTGTGTTTTCATAGTCACACTGTGGGGAGAAAGCAAAGCAAAGTATACAGTTTCATGAGTTTCACCATGCAGCCGGTGGCTGATTTGTTTCCATTGTCACCCAAGACGGCGATATGAAATTACACACAACACTGCATCAGATCTGAGATGTCTGAGATAGCTTTAGAGAGTTTCTCCAGTAACTACGACGTCTCAAAGTGGAAACTGCACAGCGATAAAATCAAAGCCTATTATTTCACAAACCAATGCTCTTCCCAAGGCTCCATGGCTAAATATCCTGTGCCGTCAAAGGCGCTTCTTTGAAGAGTGAGTTAAGATGACACAGGAGGGTCTGGGACATAAATTCAGGAGGGCACTGTGTGCCTCCAGCACTGCGAGCGCTCAACCGAGAGACAGTTGTCAACAAGCTTAACGCTAATCAGCTCAAATGGAGACAGCCGCAGGTGTATCGCTGTCTCGCGCACGCTCAAATACACATAGACGATGGAGATGACAACCGCTCCGCAGACAGAAGTTGATAGGAACGTGGGATGTGGGAACATATATGGAACGATGAAAATGATGAAAAATGCCCAGTTCTGCCACCCTCACTGAAGACAGATGCCTCAGTGGCACCACACAGATGCATAGCGTTGATCTTAACAAGCATGTTGCTCTGTGAAGCCCCAGATGTGTTTTAGTCACAGACCTCCAGAAGACTCAACGGCATGGGAAGCCTGACTCGGATCGGTGCGTGTGAGGTGGTAAAGGAAGAAGTCCTGGGCTTTTTGTTTGCTCGAGTGGGGTGTCAGTAGTGAGACTGCAGATAAGATGAACTGACTTCTCAAAAGGCAGTCTTCACTCAGCTTGACAGCCGTCTACCTGCTGCGTATTGTCCCTCTTGAAAGAGGAGAGCAGGACAGTGTCTCTGTAGGAAGCCTGTGGCGATCACAAGCACCTTAAACAGGCTTTTCTCCACAGGAGAGCTATATATGATCACTATGTTTTCCCCCACTTCTTTCTTTCTCTTTCTTTCTTTCTATTTATTTGTATTTATTGTAACACTTTGAATACAAATCTAAATTCTGCAGTGGTTGTATTGTGGATCGTGTCTGATCACCTGCTGAGCCATGTCCCAGGATTTTTTTTCGGCATCACAGCAAGGTTCAAGCAATTATACTGAACCTAAACAGATTTGTAGAATTTAAAGGCACATTTAAATCATCACAATGCTCACATTTTTGGACATCATAGAATGCCTAAATAGAGTAAGCTGCATACTTTTGTGCATCGTAAGTACTTGCATTTCCACACACTGTTATGAAATGTTGGAAAGTGCAATAATGCATTTTTTGTCTAGGTTTGCTGCCCAAAATACTAAGTTTGAAATGAACATATCTATGATGTCCAAATATGTATGGTTTGAATAGTCTGTGATGCATAAAAGGGTCTGGGTTTGATTCAAGCATTCACACATTCTATGAAGTCCAGAAATGTTGTTGAGAAAAACAGTCAAACACTGCCCAAAAACATTCAATCACACCATCTTTTTGTTTAGGTTTGATTCAAACAACTCCGTGATGGTTTAAATACTTTTAGGCAGACTTAAAATATCTTGCATTTTAAGACTGATGTTATACAGAGATTATAAAATCCTTAATAATAGTGATATTAAAACATATTTAAGCATGATATTAAGAAATGTGCATTGTGCAATAAAGAACACCAACGTTTAATTATAATTTTATATCAGTAAGTCTTAAGTAATATGTCAATAAATATGTTAATGGATTTGAAGTATTTAGTATGAGATAAATGTTTTTTAAATATATTATGACATACAGTGGGTACGGAAAGTATTCAGACCCCCTTAAATTTTTCACTCTTTGTTATATTGCAGTTGAAATAGGGCATTGAACAACTTAATTAAGTACCTAAAATGACCAGAAATGAGTACAGATTTGAACGTGCCAATGACTCCCAAAAAAGCCATCAATGTCTGACTACATCATTCAATCAGCCACTGCCCCAAGATGCTCTCTTGGTCCATATACTCTATATACAACATTAATAACATTAGACATTTTTGAAAATAAGGCATTTTAATAACTGACTAATAACTGATCTCTATCCAGGAATAGCTCAGAAACTAAAAAATCATTCCATTAATAATAAAAAAAAATAAATAAATAAAAAAAAACTTGAAATGAAAATAAGATTAAGTGCTAAATTGAAAACTAATACAGTATAAAATTATACTGAAATGAACAATAAAGCTAAATTAAAATATTAAAGGAAACTAATACAAAAGACAAAAGCACATACATTTACTAAAACCTGAAATTAAAATTTAAATGAAAAATGAAAATATCAAAATAAAAGCAAATTCAAAATATTATTCAATTAATAATACACTGTTTCTAATGAATAAAAGCAACTATGACATCCCATGGCTTTGAGACATAGCCAGTAGTTATTTTAGGCAGCTGTGTGTATAAGTGAGGTTAAAGGCCTCTGCAGGCACAGGCGGGTGTAGCGGAGCGAGGTGTGGGTGATATGTGTCGTGAGTGGGCTGAAGTGTGGAAACAGGCCAGACTGGTAGTGCCCTCAGCAAACTGAGTCTTCCAGAAGCAGAAACACAGTGACACGGCCCTCTCGGCTC